ACACAGAGAGAGAGAGAGAGAGAGAGAAAGAGAGGGGGGAACAGGCACTGGAAGAGGACGAGGATCTAGTGAAGCTTCACACGACAGGTTACATGTGGCATCCAAATTCAACTGCGACACCTTTGATTAGAACGAAAGAGTACCGGCAAGTCAGTCAGTGGGTAGCCCAAATGCAGCTAGAACGACCGTACGTTTTGTTCGGGGGAAGACGGGTAGTTATGGCGTGTGTAAGCAGCGGAGGTGGTGACGTGGCAGCTTCAGATTGAGACTTACTGACACGTGTCCAAATGATGGCGGCAAACTTCATCTTGGCTTTGGCCGTGCCACTGCAACTGATCCGATCTGGGGGTACATGTCTGTCGTCTCACTTCAGATGTCTGTTCTCTTCATGAGCACGAACACAGGGGAATAATTTTTTTTTTTTTTTTTTTAAACGAACACAGGAGAAGATGAAAACAGGAGGCGTTCTGCAAGAGGCAACTTTGGCAATTTTCTGTGCTCAGACGAACATGCACAAAAATCTGAAATTTTGAGAATCCATAGATGAGGTCGTGTTCTTTCCAGAAATAATAATAGAACATTTACAAAAAATCATTTAGACTGCGAAATAATCATCGCGCCAATTCAGCACATTTTCCATTTTTGCCACTCAGCCATGCTTGGGCCAACTAAAAAAGTACTCCGAATTCAGTGAGTTTTCGCGCTCAGAAGAATGCGTGAAATAACCAGGGCTGAATTTCCGGTCCTACCGGGGGGCCCTTCCCCCACCGGAACCGGACCGGTGGCACCGGCCGGTGGACCTCGCCGGTTCCCCCCGGGTGGAAAATCGCGCCGACGGGTAGCGGCGGATTTTGAATTTTTTCGGGGGCCGGGAGGCCTCCCTGCGGGTCGTGGAGGCTTCCCAGCCCCCAACAAAAAAAAAAAACGGGTCCAGTGTGGCCGCCAGAATCTTGAAAAACTGGCGGCCTATCTGGGCCGTTGATCTGATGAGATCGGCGGCCCAGATAGGCCGCCAGTTTTTCAAGATTCGGGCGGGAAACCACCCGAAGTTGGACTGGCCAGCGTCGGCCCCCGCAGCCCTGAAGGAAGCCTTCCTCGTCACTTGGACACTTCGTCGCAGTGACGAGTGCGGGAAAGCACCCGACTACTGACTGCGCCCCTTGTCACGTCGGGCACGGCACGCCATGGCCTCCCCCGCCCCGTCGTCCACCGGTGACGGTAAGTGGTTTTATCTATCTTAGACTTTCTTCTTCTTCTTCTTCTTTTCTTCTTCTTCTTCTCCTTCTTCTTCTTCTTCTTCTTCCCCCCTTCTTCTTCTTCTTCTGAGTGTTCTTTTGGCATAGCCGAAGTTTTCGATGCGCGAAATTTCCGACGCCCGAAGAGAGAGAGAGAGAGAGAGAGAGAGAGAG